CCTAGACGGAAGTAATGAGCAGCCTAGTATTGTGGGACAACTGGAGTCAACAGACGGGAAAAAAAATGTTGCCTTCATAACAACAAAGACGTAGAGTTACGAGCTTTCGCAGCTTTTACTTCCTGGAATTCATTATCTTCCCGTGTATGACTACATGAACAACACCTTTTGAATCTAGATTAATCCCCTTGTAACCGTTCATTATAGTTAGGCACATTATAATGATTCTTATAGTAACTAAATTGCTAACTACAGTGCGTACAATCAAGTGCGCGCCGCGGCTGCAATTTGCCGTGAGTCATACCACCGCAGAACGGATGCAGTCGCGGGGATTGTTGCAACTCCTCCCCGCGACTGCATCCGTTCTGCGGTGGTATGACTCACGGCAAATTGCAGCCGCGGCGCGCACTTGATTGTACGCACTGTATATGTCGTAAGTTCGGATTAAGGAGATAGGCGCCTTCTTACATTAAGTTCGCGACATAGGCTCATTCTTGCTGTGTGAACAGGATGCAGTCACCTGTAAACGTTTCCTAGAGACAACGACAAGGCTTTGGTATTTGACAGCTAAGGCGAAACCAAACGTAGGTTGGCCGATACCCACTCTCAGGTTATTACACATCAAGGAACTCTCAAATAGTGCAGTAGGTGTTTCAAGGGTTAACATCGCTTAGCACATTCATCTGACTGGGAAATATAAAATTCTAGAGACCTCATAGTTTTTGAACTGGGCCAATAAGGCATGTTTCAAGGAGGCAACTTTTGTTGGAAGCTGAGGCTCTGAGAAGCTTGCTGCTTCAGAGATCTTTTCCAATAGGACTCTGGTTTTAACCTTTTGACTTATACGGACACCAACCCGCGTCACTCAGGCTAAATTCTAAATTATACAAGCTTAAACACTTTGAGAACATTTCAGTTATGTAAACTAACAGAGTGCAGTGCAATTCACAGATAAGTATAAAGTTACTACTACTATCAGACTAAATTAGCGTATGTCATTTCGGTGTTTTAATAAATAATAATTTTAAGTGCGAACTATTGTCAGGTAGTGGTGAATAGTGTGTAGTAACAGTCTTCTTCCTGCCCGCCGGAGCAAGGCCTGTTAAGGCCCGGGATCAGACCTTCTACTTTCCTAACCCAGGGCCACACACCAACAAAGGGAAGGGGGTAAGCGTAAAAAAAAAAGGTGGAAACTTCGGCAACTGCTGGAGAGGCAACAGTCAGCGGTCCAGTGAAGTGCTACTGCAGCTGAAGAGCAATGCGGCGCCTTCCACGCATCGAACTCTACTGTCCAAAGGTAAAGTTCAGCTACAAAGTTGTTGTTTCTGCTGAGGGCCAAGGGACAGCTATACCCTGTCAGACATCTTGAAACTTCCGGAAAGAAGTTCAACACACGTTACAGTAGTAACGTCAAAACACTGGGAATATCAAATGACTAAAAGTGGTAAATAACCTTTTATCTATGCTTCTAGCACACATACAAAGAAAGTGAAAAGTAGATGGGTGGTTTTAGCATGAAACGTTTAAATGAAAACACAAATACTGCCGACATCTGCAGTCACAAAGAGAGAGGACTACAGTTTGCCTCATGTCATCCCCCCTCCATGAGCCAGCAAACTTCTGTGGTCTTAGATACACAGTGTTTTGAAAATATGAAACGAGATGTAAACAAACCAGGAGGTTCACACGTGTTTTGCATCATGCCACCTCTCATGCAAGCCACCGTGGGAGGTGGAACATTTCCTTGCAGACGGGGAGGCGCCTAAATGGAGATCTTAAAGCGTAGTAATAACAAACTGTTACCACTAATCCTCATTTCCTCAGCAACCACCAAAAACCACGCAAACAAAACCATCCACAGACAACACTCGTTACTCACTCATGGAGCTGAGCCCTTCTTGAAGAGCCGCCAATTGTGCAGCTAATCTAGAATTTCCCAGGATTTTCCGGAACCCGAAGGTTCATTATCGTGTTCACAAGAGCCCTCCACTGGTCCCTATCCTGAGCCAGGTCAATCCAATCCATACCATCGCATCCTATTTCTCTAAGATCCATTTTAATATTGTCCACCCACCTAAGCCTTGGTCTTCCCAGTGGTCTCTTTCCTTCTGGCTTTCCCACCAATTTCCTATATGCATTCCTCTTCTCCCCCATTCGTGCTACATGCCCTGCCCACCTCATCCTCCTTGACTTGATCATTCTAATTATATTTGGAGAAGAGTGAAAGTTATGAAGCTCCTCATTATTCAGTTCAAACCTCCTGTCACTTCATCTCTCTTCGGCCCAAATATTCTCACCACCCTGTTCTCAAACACCTTCAGTCTATGTTCCTCACTTAATGACAACACGCAGTACACAATAGTAACCTTCACGTTGGGGTACTGCTTAAATGTCCTCGCTGGGAAGACTGGTTATCTGCACCAGTGGTTCTCTAGCTCTGTCAGACCGCAGCCCGGTAAATTGTTTCTTCTATAAGCCGAGGGCCGGTATAAATGGTACCGGACCGCGGCCCGGCGATTGAGAAACACTGATGTATACCCTCCAAGCACCTCGAGGTAAGATCTACTACAACCAGACATCGTGAAACCAGAACTGGATTTATACCCACGCCAGCAAAATGTGAAGAAAGCGGCAAAACAGCCGTTATATCCCCTATCTGACCCTGTCTGTATACTGATCGGCGTAGGTAGGAGATCTGACATTTCTCATGATATTCTCAAGCCTGTGCTTGGCAATGCACCGTGATTAAAAGATCTGGCATAAAATTACTTCCAACACTTATCTAGCTTATATAAGCTAGATGAAAAAAGGTACCTACACTGCAATACAGGCTCTAGTAATCACTGGATATCAAACGGGCTGCTACGACAGGCCTGTGAACTATAACCTGTTTTGTACTCAAGCATTTTCAGGCGATACCTCCGTAATATTATTACTACAGTATGAAAATGGGTTTCAGCTCTTAGCATCCAATTTTTACTATTCTGAATATATTATATTTAATAAATTTCATGCAGCCTACTTTCCAGCTGGACAATAAAAATGACCGTCAAATATGTTAAATGAATGATACCCTGGGACGACGGCTAGTCTCGAAACTCCCAGCAAACGGACAGAACCTGAATACAAGTACGAAATTATTTTGAGGCAACTAATAGGTTATCTTTACAATTACTAACTCAATGCCTGTCCCAAGATGGACACTCTGTGTGTACAACCCACGGGTGATGCTGTATCAGTGAACACAGGGCTACTCTTTCGATCAAATACCACATTATACACATACACATCGAAATGAATATTACATTTATGTGTGGAATGCCAATGATCAACTATTTATCTAATGGCAATTTCTTCCGGAGTTTGTCTCTTTTTAAACACACTATACGTGTTATGTTAAAGTTGTTCCTCTGCTTCACTAATTAAGCACTATGCCATGAAGACGTATGGGGGAAAGGATGTATATACCCACGTTTCCTTGCCCTCGGCATCAGTTGGAGGTGAGTGGTCAGTTTCACGCCCCGTTCGCTTTTAATCGGTGAATTAGCCAACGGTACCCATTCGATAGGACGTTGGGTGGGCCCCAGAGACGGTCTGGACGACATGGAGAAGCGAAAATTCTTGCCCCCACATGGACTCGAACTCCGACCTCTTGGTCAAGCCAGTAGCCAGTCGCTATACCGACTGCGATATCTCGTGTTATGGCAACTATTAATTAAATAATTCGCCCACTCCACCACAGCAGTACACACTGGGTAAAAAGTAAAGTTGTCCCTGTGCTGAATTAATNCAGTTGGAGGTGAGTGGTCAGTTTCACGCCCCGTTCGCTTTTAATCGGTGAATTAGCCAACGGTACCCATTCGATAGGACGTTGGGTGGGCCCCAGAGCCGGTCTGGACGACATGGAGAAGCGAAAATTCTTGCCCCCACATGGACTCGAACTCCGACCCCTTGGTCGTCAAGCCTGTGGCCAGTCGCTATACCGACTGCGATATCTCGTGTTATGGCAACTATTAATTAAATAATTCGCCCACTCCACCACAGCAGTACACACTGGGTAAAAAAGTAAAGTTGTCCCTGTGCTGAATTAATTAAGCATCATGCCATAAGGGCATATGGGGAGTGAAGGTAAACTCCACCATTCTTGACCTCGTTAAAAGGCACAAAACAGTACACAGAAATCATCTTTATATCATATTTCTACACACGTTTTCCGCTGTGTTGACTGCACAACCACTCATTCGAAAGCCGACGCCGGTCCGATGTACGGGGAAATAAACATTACATTTACGTAACCTGCGAAAATACGCTATAAGCGGATTACCATAGCAACGGATCTTCGAGCGTTAAAAGGTATGAACCTGTTCTACCGTGGTGTATAAAATTATATAGTCATGAACGAGACAAGTCTCGTATCCATGCTGTTGCTGTTGAAACGGAGATAAGTGTAGTGTAGTGTAGTGTAGTGTAGTGTAGTGTAGTGTAGTTAGTACATTNCGCTTTTAAGTTTTTTTTTTTAAGTACACCTTTGACTGCCACAATTAGAAAAATAACTGCTTTCTTTCCAAAACGTTCAAATAGGCCCAGCTCAACAAAATCAGGCCCTAGAGCTCTGATAGGAAGTCAACAAGATAACTGAATTGGGCACTTCATGTCCCTTGAATGATCATGAGACGTACCTTAATGAACTCTATTCTATATATTCTTGTTACTTTCGGGCATATTCTGCAACAAAATAACACAAATGTGATGTGAATTTACCGTTATTCGTCAGAAGGACAGTTACGTTAACCAGCTTTTAACAGACAGCATTCGATATGTTGGAGTTTGTTCACTATACCATTATTCTGCTACTGTTCACCAGAAACCCACGAAAATTGTATAGAGCTAATTAATTCTGGTAGATTTTGACAGACCTATCGCGTACATTACACTAACAAAAATACTTAACGAATGGATATTTAATGACACCACACCACTAAGTGCACGTCTTTACTCACCTAATAACCATTTTGGGGACAAGTTCCCGTACTGGGGATGATGGGTTGTCACACGAAATTCTGACAGCTACGCTGAACCACCACAGCACGCGCGCACGCACAAAATTACGACAACAAAATTAATAATTGGAAAATAAACGCTCATGCACGGAGAACACACCGCTGTATTCCATGTCTTCTGAACACATTTGTTCCGTATTTACTTTTATATGCTGTTGTTTATAAGTAAGGAACAAGATACGACGTACTACATACGACGTAAACAAACGTCACAGCATTGCCCACTGCGTATGATTTTACGGCCCTGCCAACCAAATCAAAGCTGACGACGCTGTGCAGACAAAGACCACTACACGAAAAACAGTTGTTCCAGTACTAGCAGCTCCCAAGCACACTACATGGTTCGGAAAACGTTCAGTACAGGAGTACCGAATGGATGACTGCTCCGACATCTAGTAGGAGAGCAATGTACTAGATATTCAATGTAAACAAAAAATGGTGCGTGGAAGTCTGAAAGATACCGGGGTCAAGTAATGCCCATAATGCTACATTCACGGAATGGTGTAAGATCTATACGTCTGTGACGACATTGCATTAGTACAAATATTATGTTTCTGGACATTATCCAACGTCCTGTTTATATTTCAAAACGTTTCCTCCGAAACGTTGTTTTGAAAAATAAACTGGACGATGGATAATGTCCAGAAACATAATATTTGTATGGATGGAATGGTGTCTTACTGGGCTGCGTACCTGTCCGTACTCTGATTCAAGCATGGGAATTTCGCTGACACCATGTCCTGTAAGGCGTTCCCGCATAGCTCAGAAAACAAGAAATAAAATATCAACATTACTGTGTACAAACGTGAGAGCACTCAAATTCAACGTGCGGAAATCCAACTGTACAGGAAGTAAATTGGTATGCGGCCTTGCGACGAGCTGATCACCCGTCCAAGGAGTCCTACCGTCTGTAAATGGTCATGAAACTGAGAAATCAGCCTTATACTCCAAAGTGAGAGCGGGAGGAGAGAAATAAAAAATAAAATAAATAAATTAGTATGGAAGTTAGGTACAAAATTGGACATCATTAAATATAGGGCAAATAAATGAAGTTTCAATTCATAACAAAATTAATTCACGTCACAATGAACGAAGAAAATGCAAAAAAAAAAAATCAGCTTCACGGTAAAGAAACACGGCCGTTCGGACACCTAGCCGTACGATTCACGTTTATACGGGCTTCTCACAACGTTCGGTTACAGCTCGTGAGAATGGCAAATGTGATGAACCCTAGGTACACAGCCGCTCCGACCCCAACTGTCCACGTTCTACCACCTCCCCCACAAAAAAAGTCCTTCCGCTTACTTTTAGGTAAAACTGTCCCTGTGCTTAATTAAGCACCACATCATGAACATGTACAAGGGTGTGGAGGTACAGCTTCAAGCATTATTAACCTCGTCTGTAAGGCCGCGCCATAGCTCAAGCGGTTAGTCGCTGGCTTTCCACCGCGGCGACCCGGTTTCGATCCCGGGTCTGGTCAAGTGGGATTTGTGGACAAAGTGGCGCTGGGGTAGATTTTCTCCGAGTACTTCGGTTTCTCCTGCCAATCTTCATTCCACCAACTGCTCCACAATCACCCTCACCTATCATCTGGGGCTGGTACAATAGGCCAGAAGTGGCTGCAGTATAAGGAACTTACTCCCATCCCACTAGCAATAAAAAAAAAACTTCGTCTGTAGGTGCAGATGAGTGGTCAGCTTCCAGCCCTTCGTCGCTTTAACCCGGCCAATATACAACTTTTCAACTCGCCTCTGCGTACATATTCGTCATGGGCAGACAACTAGCAAACATATCACGAACACCGCAGTAAAGCGGGCCCGAATGCGAATGATTTCTACCGTTGGCCGAACACCGCTATATCGGAAGGTTCGCGGTGTTAGTCTCGATCCGCAGGCTGGGTAGTCTGACTCTTGTACCTATTACTTCTCAACAGCCAGATTTCGCCTCCAATTACTGTACCATAATGCGTAAATTCTAAAGTCAGGGTTAACAAGCACCTAATTTTTACACTTATTAACATCAATTAAATCACAGAGCAAGGCGGTTCAAGCGCTGACGTTTCCAACTTGTATTCGGGACGTGTCTTATTGCATTCTTGGTCGAGACACCAGTTATCCTAAGAAGAATACTACCGTCTAGATGGGACACCGTATAGTCTGGTAAATACCTGACTACAAGGCGTCAGATTGTAGACAATAGTAATCTTCAAAGACACCGCTGTGAAAACGTAAAAAACAGCGATCCTGAAGTTTTTCGTAGTTTTCTTCAGACCTCCCAGACAAATGTCAGTTTAGTGCCTTAAATTATACCTCTACTAATTCCTACCACATCCCTTCTAGTTCATTATTCATAATCGTGCAAACATCCAATGCTGTATAGTGTAAGTTGCTGTCAGCTTCATCAGAGGCGCTACAAACAAATATAAAATGAATTAATAAACATCAATCAAGAGCTGAAACGCCATGATATATCATTATTACGTAAAGTTTAACGATCATACGAATTATCTGACAAAAAAGAATATCTTTTATGCCCTAGCATTTCATAAGCTGATAAATGTTCGTATTCATCCACACAAGGCATATTATCAATAAAAAAACAGACAAATTCCGTGGCCTGTAGTCCGCAAGCAAACTATGCCGACCGAGTGACCGCCGCTTGTCGGCGAAGTTAATGCCAACTTTAGCGGATAGAGGGTGTCACGTGGTCAGCGCAACGGATTCCCACGGCCGTTAATCTCAAAATTTCTAGACCGGAGCCGCTATTTCCTTGCACTAGCTCCTCAATTATCCTCACGAGGCTGAGTGGACCCGGTTCCAGCGCCGGGAATCGAACCCGGGACCTCTGGATCTGTAGCCAGGAACTCTGACCACTAGACCACAGAGGCGGCCATATTATCAATACACTGTAACATCAATTTGTATCATTTCTGTAGTGCGCAAAGGTCCTATCATAACAGAACCATACACTACTAACTTTAAACTGCGTCCCAGCGCATCTATCAGGAATAAACTTTATACCGTGGGATCAAAAACGACTTTAAATTTATTCAGCGTGAATACCTCAGCCGGTACAGCTACGGGCTCGACGGCCATGAAGGTCAAGATACTTTTCTCTACTCCACAGCGTCCAAACCGGCTATTGGGCCCACCCACCCTCCAGAGGGTATGGGGTGCTCTTTCTCCGGGGCTAAAGCGGCAGAAGAGCGAAGTTTGACCACTGATCTCAATCTAATGCCGAGGTCAAGACTGGTGGAACTATACTTCCACTCTCCCATGTCTTCATGGCGTGGTGCTTACACGATTAAGCACAATGAAAATTTTACCTTTACTTTTTACTTTGTTCTGATTATTGCATATCACAACCTTGAGTCTCTTCTGACGAGATGAATGAAGACGGCCGAGGAATCATATGGTTATTTTATAACAATAATTTAAGTCAGACTTACGTATTGCAATAATTTTTTAAATTAGGCCTGTATGAGGTAAAGGTAAAGCTGTCCCTGTGCTTAACTAATTAAGCACTACGCCATGAAGACGTATGGGGGAGTAGATAAAATCCGATACAAAATATTTAAATCAGAAACTGCACGCGGTAGCGTAGTTGGTTGAGGCACAACGATACAAGCCGGAAGGTCGCGGGATCGAATCCCGAAGAGGTGGATTTTTTTCAATTTACCTAATCCTTCCAGCCGCACTATGGCCCTGGGGTCGATTCAGCCTCTAACAGAAATGAGTACCAGGAATATTCCTGGGGGTAAAGGGCGGCCGGCGCGTAAGGCTGACAACCTAACCGCCATCTGTGAGCCGACTGTCTAGAAAATGCGGGAGCCTCAACATCTCACAACCCCATGGGCCTCCACGGCCTGTTACAGGGAAATTTTACTTTTTTACTTTTACTGGAACCTGAGTACACCATACCGCCTCCAACCATCAGATTCATTTTTATTTCAAAGGCTAAGGAAACATTTCCACAATATTCTTAAATAATGACTGGGAATATTATACTCTAAAGCAAGTTCACTGGTATTTAGAAACAAAGGCTTCCTGACTCGCCATGCAAGAAGTCATTATGCCCTAATTAATTTATTGTATAGAAACGGGTTGGTTCAGAGTCTGACCGAAAGATAACTTTCCTGGAAATGAGTTGGTTTTGAAAACATACAATAAACTTACCCCTGAACTAGTTTTCCACAGTCAAACACTAGGAAACTGAGATTTGGGACAGTGGTAACCAACCGCGTTCGGCAGACATTCGGCAGCGTGCTGTGCGGTTGTGAAGTCAGTCATGTTGGTCATTTACCCTAAAACATGCATACACTTACGGTCCGCGTTTCCGCTTCGAAGATAAGCAGACGAAACAGGACACGCATGGGAAGTACAACTCGGCGTATGAAGAGTCAATAACCGACCTACGGAGCCTAAGAACTGACCGTTCACAAGAAAGTGTCAGCACCGTACTGTAGCAGCTAAATTCTGATGATACAGATGACAATGACAACGAAATATCAAACGATAACGCTTTACACTTGTACTCGGGAGGTGCTCGGTTCGAATGTAGGACACCACACTGGCTGGTATCACTGAGGTTTTCCTTAGTCCTCTTCGACTCAGTGCACTTGGTACTGCGGCCACAGATGGCCTATTGTACCAGCCCCAGATGATAAGACGATGATGATTTTTGAGCAATTGGTGGAATAAAGATTGGCAGGTGAAACTGAAGTACTCGGACAGAACCTGCCCCAGCATCATTTTGTCCACCACAAATACCACATGACCAGACCAGGACTCGAACCAGGGCCGCCGTGGTGGGAAGCCAGTGCCTAACCGCCTGAGCTATGGCGCGGCCCCAACTGACCATTCATCCTGTCATTTGACACATATAGCCTAAATATACGGACAAAAGGAAAAGGTAAAGCTATCGCTGTAACAGGCCATGGAGGCCCATAGGGTTTGACGTTGAGGACCCCACATTTGCTCTAGACAGTCGGCTCACAGATGGGGGTAAGTTTGTCAGCTTTATGGGCATGCCGTCCTTTAGCCCCAGGAAGATTCCTGGTACTCATTTTCTATTAGAGGCTGAGTCGATCCCAGGATCATAGTGCGGCTGGAAGGGTTAGGTCAATTGAAGAAATCCACCTAATCGAGACTCGAACCCGCCTGCAGCATAGTGCCTCAACGAACTACGCTACTGCGTAGGGTCGTTAAATAAAGCACACACAAGCAGAAGAAAGCACAGCCAGCAGAGGCACTGGAACATAAACCACTGAGATGACGCGACAGTGGACATCCAAAGTTACGTTCCAGAGACA